TGATCCTGCATTTATGGATATAGCTTCACTGATTTTTCAGTTCAGTAATTTTTTATGTTCTCTGGAACCTAAATTCTGGTGGGTAATTTCTTCAGGCAAATGATCAGTTGCGTAGATGGTTTGAAGACAATGATGCACTGGAGCGAGCTATCAATGGAGAGTGCGTGTTATATGTTCTATATTTTTTCAAAATTTATCTATGCTGTATTTTCTAGTTAAATGGATGAATGTTATGGGCACTGGATTCTTATATTTCTTGCTTGTTTTTCAGGTGGTTTTTATTACCATTTGGAAATGAGGCAGTTGCTTCACAACCTATCCATTTAAGCCGGGATGAAAGCAAAGATTTAATAATTGGGTACTCAGTTTGCATTCAACCTGAAGTTGTCTTAAAATTTATACATACATGAAAGTATTTCTACTTTGCGTTTGTCTGCAATGCATTAGGAATGTATATATGGTGTTGTGATGGAAATGGAGGGAATACAAATTTTGGCAATGACATATCTATGGTCTAATCACGTTTAACTAGCTTACTACTGTTATTCTAATTATCATTTTAATGAACAATGGTGATTGCAGGGGCCAAAAGCAGGATGATTCTACAGAAACATCAATAATCCTAAGTTCACCTCAGGTGATTTGCCCTACTGTTTATGTTTTTCCTCCTCCACACTTTGGAGCAAACATAATTTGTTCAATTCTGGCATTCAGGTATCCAAAACGCATGCCCGTATCAGCTACAAAGATGGTGCATTCTTTCTGACTGATTTGCAGAGCAAACATGGGACCTATATCATTGAGTAAGTTGTTCGCAGCAGGAAACATCTTCATCAATTTATTATTTCCAACTTCAAAATGATATTCCCTGAAACTTTATTTCCTTCACATGTGCAGCAATGAAGGGAGAACGTATAGGGTACCTCCAAACTCCACTGCTCGATTCCGTCCATCAGATACCATCGAGCTTGGTTTTGATAAAAAGGTATTAGATAAAGGTTCCAAGGGAGAGAATCATTCTAGCTAGAAACTGAATAGCATAATATATTCGTGAGGAAAGTTAACTGTTTCTTAGTTTTCAATCATTATGCAGGCTGCTTTTCGGGTTAAGGTGATAAGATCTCAGCCCAAGTCCACACAGAAGGATGAGAATCAAATTCTTCAGGCGGTCTGAAGAGGTAAGATGTTTGATTTTGGAAGTCCTCATACACAGCAATGTACAATTTACAGCATTTTATATATACCAGCCAAATGATACATTCAAGATATGATGAAAAGTCGGAGCATTAGGCGAGAATTGTCATATAGAACCTTGCATCTGGGCAGGAACACCTAATGTAACCTCCATTCTTTTGAAGAACACAGATATAAATGAAATATTATCCATGTCTCCATTGGCTTAGGACAAGTTTGCAAAGAGGAAAATGAAGTGTGCCTTTGTGACTTTCAAAATTCGTTTTCATAGCTTAATGGGCCTAAATGAACAGTCCATACAGCTTTTAGACATTTTATTTCAGGCTCAACAAACCCTTTTAAGCTTGACTGTGGTTAGCCAATAGCCTCCATGATCTTCAAGACTTCCATAAGCAATCTAAGTTGAGTGACTAATATATATATATATATATATATATTTTAAATTTTAAAAAGACACTAACGAAAAATGCAAATTAAAACAAAGTTAAGTGACAAATATTCCAAAATCTAAAAGTCAGTGACTAAAATTTAAATTGTTACCATATTTAGTGACCGACCGTATGCAGTTTACTCATAGTTGAATTATATGATGTGGAAGATGGATGTCCTGTTGCCCTGATTGATAAGGAATTAGATCTGATTTAACATTTGGTTTTTCAAAAGGTGCTCCTTGACATTGAAAGGAAACTGCAGAATGCACATGGAGAAAGGTAGAAATGGACAAAGGAAACTGGCCCTTCAATAATGTACCGAACCAACTTAGACCATGCAACAAAATCCAAGCTCTCGATGTATCTGTCCAAGAAAACACGCTCCTAATGTCAACGTGAGGTCGTTATCTTAAAGCCCTTTTCTTTGTTAATTTTTTTCTGGATAATTTCATATTTAAAATAGCCACAGATCGTTCATGAAATGCAGCCCAATTATGCGATTACAATCAGTGCACTGCACTCTCAGTGCTATTGTCTCCTCTTGCATGACAATAACAATGTATCTAGAGCCCACCGCAACACCTCTTCCCCCCTCCCCCCACCACCACCACCACCATTTAACGGAATGGTCTGGTTGATAAGACCATTTGTTTTCACCTATTTGAAATAAATTCATAGGGATAAACAGAACATAAGCGTGATTCATCTAGTACCAATATAGAGACCGTTACCAAACCAGAACAAGCAATGGAGCAGATGGCAATGGCACGCGACTTCTAATCCAATAATTACTTCTTTGTCTGTGCTAAAGAAGTATTATTTTGTAAGATAAGTTTGTGATTAAGTATTGAGTTAGTATATATAACAAAAATTAATTTATTCAAATATACTAAATTGATGTAAGAAATTAATTTAAAATTCTTGAAAAGGAATTTATCTTAAAATATATAAAACTAAACTCGAGATACCATGATCATAAATAACAAAAAAGCACGTGGCTTTCTATCGACTAGTGTTGTTGGGTGCGTGATGCCTCTCAAATTATCAAGTTCACAACTTGAGAAGGGGACCACGGACTAAAGCCCATTCTGTTAATAAATACAAGTAACATGATTGTATGAATATAAGTGATAGTCTGCACGTGAAGGTGACGGCGGTGAGGGAGGGGGCACGTCACACCGTCACGCATGACAGGAGCAACGGTCGGTCCAAATTCAGGTGCAGGGCGGGGATGGAGGTGGTGGTGGTGTTGACATGACCGTTAGAGCATTCAATGCGTTCGTAGTTGGGCATATAGCTTCGCCACGTAACCCAATTTCATTCCATTTTCATTTCAGAGAAGGAAAACAAAAAACTTCCTCTGATTTTCATTTTGGGAAATAATTTTAGGGGAAACTTTTTATATCATTTTTTTTTATAATTTGATATATTATTTAAGTAATTATTTTTTTTAATATAGAATATATTATATTAAATATATTCACTTATTTAATAATATATAAAAATTATATTAAAAAATATTATAAAAAAATTATTCTTGTAACGTTACTCTTTCTATCTTATATAAGAGAACTAAATGGGATTTTTTTTTTGTCAGGCCTAATTACTGGCTTACTGCAGGTGTTTACGGTCAATTATCAGCTAAATTACATAATTTAAGGCCCTCAACTTGCAAATCAGCAATTTTTAATCCATAAAACTAAAAAGAAAGAATAACAAATAAACCACTGAACTCTACCAACTGTCTATCAAGTACCCAGTAAATGCCATGAATGATGCCCAAAGAAGATTGGCAAGATTGCCCTACCCCCTTCCCCTTCTCTATCATTTCCTTTGTGTTGTTGTATTTTACTATAATATTTTCTTTCTGCTCTACACTTGTTAGTATATTTCTTTTGTTTCTTTAGACCAATTTCATTAAAACTCTAATTATTATATCTATGGGTTAGGATCAACGTACACTTATATAAATATTATACCAATTCTCAGTTATTTATTTTAAAATTTCAACAATTAATACAATACTTGAATTTCCAAAACAACTCATTAAATTTTAAAGTGTATGCTTAAAAGTTACTGTAGGAGTTTATTAAACATAGATCAATATAAGTTGATCCATGCTCATTATCTTTTATTAATATAATGTCCTCTATTCGAATATTTGAAAAAAAAAATGGCCACGTTGAAACGAACTCATTTTTTAACATGACCCTCGTTCCTGATAAAACCTGACCATTTTATTTAAAAAGCGGTTTTCAGTCACAATAGCGGGTAGAGGGGCTGATTTGTAACTTTCTTTAGTTAAAGATCTTAAAAACTACAACCTTACAAGTTTGAGGGTTCCGAATATAATTTAGCGCGCACCAATTTTTTTGCATCGCATACATACTGCTTTGGTCATATGATCCTACCGACTCAATCGTGAAAGGATTAAGTTCAGATTTAGATGGGCTCGAAGAAATTTCGAAATGGGAATCTTTGTATTTTAAATGATTTCCCCAAACAAAATGAGGGTTCTGTTGTACCTTCCTTTCACATGAGCACCTGTCCTAGATGCTCCCTTCAACCATTACAAAACAAAGCATCCCACAGGCGCGCCCCCCTTCCCAGTGCAGGAGTGCTGCCCCTTCACCCCCTCACAAATCTAACCAAATCTTTGGATCACATTTAGTGAAAAAACGGCATGAAATTGTAACTTGTGTGTGAAAAATGCAAAAACAAAGTCTTGGCAACAAACCCCACATCTCATGTACCGAGTACGAACCCCACTTGAGATGGCCCCTCTTTTGTTATCAAAGTCCCAATCTTACCCTTATATTTTCAAGGAAATTCTAGATTCATCCGGGATTGTTAGTTTTGTCTCTTAAAAGCCAAACGGTGGAGAAAAAAAGAAGGTTTCCCAGCCATTTTATCTTTTTCACAAACTCCAAGAAGTACTAAACCAAAATCCAAAGAAAAAGAAATCATATCCTTATCTCTGTCTTAAATACTGGAAGCAGTGCCTTGTTTCTAAAAAGAAGAGAGATATTCACTGGTGCACCCCTCCCCCCCCTCGTCCCGTGCTTCATTTCAAATTTTCCAGGATTTCTTTTTCCAGGGTATGGAATTCACACCCTGGGAAAAGAAATGAAAGCAACACTCTTTGATTAAAAAAAAAACCCACTCAGTTCACATCCAGTTCCAGGATCTTAAAAATTTTTTTTTTTGTTCAAAAGAGTGGGACCCGAAACCATATTTTTTTTATTTCTTTCAGAAAAAAGTCACACGTGCACTGAGGCCTCATTTAGAAAGGTGAGCCTCAGCCAGTTCAGCTCCACACACAATATTCCAATTAAATGAAAATTTCAAAAATAATAATTAAATAATATAAGGAGAGTGAATTGTATTGCATCACCCGATTGTATTGAAATATTGAATTATAAAAAAAAAAAATTTATATTTATATACCTGATTAGTTTTTCAATATTAAAAACTTTTATTCAAAAATTTTATTTTACAGTCAAGTCCAATTTAGAGGGCGGCGAACACATATAAGAAATATAATACTACTGATAAATATGAACTGTAAACAAGAAAAATAAAATTTCAAAAATTGGCTATTGTATTTTTCAGTAATTATTTATATATTATGAACAATCATGTAATTTCGACTCTGTTTTTTAAGCATTTTTTGCGCTCTGTTTCATGGTACAACACATTTCCCCATATTTTTAATTTTTTTATCTAAAATAGGAAAACCCAAACCCAACCCCAAGAACCTGAATATTTTTGAAAATAAAAATATTAGAAATGAAATGCAAAGGAATCTCGACCGTACTAGGACCGGGAAACCGATTCGGCCAACTTTCCGATTTTCTCAACGAGTTCAGGGGACAACTTCTTTGCCGGTTTCCTCTCCTTCTCCGGTTTGAAATCGAAGCCTAAGGCGTCGGAGACTTCTTCGCAGCTCCACCCGGCTTTCCGGAGAGAATCTGAGAACCGGTCGGCTTTGAGAAGGAGGGCATCGAGGACGGCTTGGTTGTCCAACAAAACCATTTCGCCTTCGAAAAAGCCTGAAGCTGAGACGTGGACGATATCCGATATATCGGACTCGTCCCACCCCCCTTCTCTAAGAACCGACCCGATTTGTCCAATGTACTCCTGGACCCATTTGGGAATTTCGGATCTCCGCATCTCGAAGTACCTCTCCGGCGACGAACTCGAAGACGAGGATGAGTTTCTCCTGCGACGATCAACGGCCGCGTCGCTCCAGAACTCGACCCATCTTGGGGTTCTTGACCCGGCTACACCACCCGTATCCAAGCTTCTTCTTGAGAAATTCGAAGACGACCCGGCTGATCTCTCACTGACAGATCTCTGCTTCTTGAGGAATTCCGTGTCCGACTCCGAACACCGGAATAGAGATTCTCGGTCAAAGAAATCTGAAATATCATAACCGCAACAGAAAATCCGAGCTTCGTCGACGAAGAAGATGGGGTTACCAGCTAAAGACGGGTTGCAAGGAATATAGCAGTGGTGGAAAATGGGAATTAAAAGGGGTGCTCTCTTGAGTGCATTTCTCGCTATCCGTAATGCCTTCTCCGGGTCCGATGGTCTCGGCCCCCAAGATTTGGACCAGAAAGTGTTGCGCGCGATCTGAAACGAGATTGCCGCGATGGGGAGATCCAGGGAGGCGCGAAGATGTAAACGGGCACCCGTCGCTCGCCAATCTGGAAAACCAAGACCCACAGGCAACCCGGCTGATAGGATAGCCCGAAGGTCCGGAGGGAAAACGAACCCGAACTCGGCTTCGGCTCTAGCGAACTCGGCATCCGATAAACCCGGCTGAACCTGGAAACCAGAATTGCGTAAATGGATTATCACCTTCTCGGCAAGCGAACTGAATGACTGTAGGCTGCTGCGCACCGGAAGCGAAGAAGGGGTGGAAGGCGCGGAGGCACGAGCGGAGAGGCGACGTAGGCCAGCTATGTGGGCCGGATTCAGACCGGTCATCCTCCGGTCGATGTCGACCATTGTGACTTAAATGGTGGGTTCTTGTCTAGAAAAAATTTCCCGCTCTGTTTTCGGCGCCGGGAAACGCTGCCTCCGTTTCAGCTTTCTTCTTCGTTTCGAGAGCGACGGAGGAGGCGCGGCGTTTATGTGTGAAGTGGAAAAAGGGAGAAAAGCAGAGTATGTTGTT